TTGTTTATAAAATCTCCAAATCTCCATTTTTGGAGCCTATTAGCAACAAAATTTGTGATATTGACCTCAGCCATTATCTATGAAACAGTCTAAACGAAAAGAAATATATTAAAAGGCATACAAAACTGCGTATTCATTAAATGAATAATGAACGAATAATGAATGCTATATTATTTGCTAAAATATTTGCTATTAAGACCAACACTAAAATCTAGGCAAATACAATCATTCGATACATGAATCGATAGAGACAAACAAACAAATCACTGTTGTTAGGTCATGTGTCCACGATGCTAGACTTCGATCCGAGATTTCGGATAGAAAGAAAATTGACCAATTGTGTTTAAATAATTTGGCCAATTAACCAATGTGATTAGTCAATTCTCTTTTTTTTCGAGATATCGAACCGATTTCTAGCATCGTCTAGCATCAATCCGTTTCTAGCACAAGGCCTTAGAAACGGATCGTTATAACATCTGCAACATATATGTGAATAGTTTTTTATGTGCATGTCTATCTATTTTTTTGATGTTGCGCTACATGACATGCTGCGAATATGAATGAATGTCTAAATATTTGCATTTGCTAGTTTTTTTACTCGATTATTTAAGAATATAATTTCACAGTACAATTTAATACAATTTTTATTGGTCGATAAAAACGACATCAATTATCGATATTGTAACGAAGCGCGTCCCTCGCTGCGTTCCCGCTTTATTTTCCCCCAACCGATCATCAGGTATCCGCAAACGGCATTTTACGCCAATTTTTAATCTACTTAACATGAACTTCAAAGAAATTCGGAAAATAAGCGAAGGAATGTCGAATCCACGCTGTTTTCGTGGTATTCTTTCCGCGCCGTACCACGTTCCGTACAAGCGCTGGCGCGCCCTTCACCGCACAACGCACATTATCGAACATCGACGTTTCCCTGCGCCGCATCAATACCGCATCACAAAACGAATGAACGCCCCGCACTGTAATTATGTCTACGAACGACGACGACCGCCTCGCTTCGACATCTTACCACCGGATTCCGTTTCCTACTCCAATCCTATTCCCGCGCTTGTTCCTTTTTAATTAAAAATCCAATTGCTTTTCCTTTTTTCCGATTCTGTGGAGAGAGATATATCTCCTAAAGTCAGTCCGATCGATCCGACCAAAAAATACCGAGATCGATTGGTATAAAAAGGCATCGCTCTCCACAGAAATCATCTTTTCCCATTCTCAGCTCTCGAAAGCAAGATCTTGGAAGAGACTCGCTTGGAAGAGACGCTAAAGAGAAAGCTGAGTTCCGAAACCGTACGCGGCAAAAGCCAGAGCTTTATTGGGAATTTCCCCAACGCACTAAGTTTGCTTGGTCCGGTTCCGCCGACACCGAATTTCACCGCTGAGTATTTCCGCACGTCCGAAAACCCGCCATCCATCCGAATTCCGAACATTGGCACTTTGCCGAATACACTCGGCGAAATCCTCGCGACTCCACTGTCGCCGATGGAAGTTGCGAGACCGGGATGCCCGGATCTCCGCGACCAGAATGGCCACCTTCCCGACGCAATCGACCCTCGCGTTATTTCGACTATCATGGTCAACACCACCGCGAAATCTAAAACACTCGCGTAATCGAGATTACTCGCCGTGACAGACAGAATTGACAGTTCACGTGATCACGTGTGATGTACCACCGCGCGCCCCGCATCATAGAACTACCGCCTGATTCACATACGTTCCGAGCGACAACTTATTTTCTGTATATATACACGAATATCCGCTGAATAAATGCCGTACGTCCGATCACGGCCAGATATATCAAAAACCAAACCGCAGTTCTTATTAATTGTATTTTATAATTGATAATTATGTTTTATACTTTATAATTGTAAATTATATCTAATAATTATATACAGGGTAATTCAGAACAACCCCGTGTCCTTGCAAGGACGTACTCCTGAATTAATTCTGAGACGATTTTTCCTCTACGAAAATTTTGTCCGACGCTTACATTTTAAATCATAAAAGAAAAAAGTTAGCGAATAACGAGACGCGTACGGAAGGTAGGCAGGGACAGCACAAATCACCGTCCGACGCAGGCGATTACTGCAGGGCGTTCGCTGCGTCGACGTGTTTATCATACGCGATAGTATGCACCTATGCGATTTCTCACTTACTTTCTCTCTCTCTCTCTC